TTTAATGCCGCAGGTCACACCTTCAAGAAACAACTTTTGACTTCAGCGATGAGTTGAAACCTTTTTAGTTCATCACATTTTATTTCCACCTTAAATTAAGCGCAGTACGAGTTAGAATTAATAAAAAAAATTCCCTTTACCTATCAGAAATATTTCTTAACTATATCAAAGTAATTGGAAACCATATGAAGCAGTGACACTGCTGTAATCCTGCACACTTATACATTGACTGAAAATGCCTCTTACAATTCTCTACAGACATGAAACATGAATGCACTGATCATTTTTTTTGTTTATTTATATATTTCTTTACATGCACATTGTAGTTGACATGTTTTAGTGCAGGTGACAGGGTACAGACGGGGTTATTTGGAGCTGGAGCAGGTGAACATTCGTCTCAGCCAGCCTCTCTTCTTCTCTGCTTTCTTCTCTAACATATCCTCCATCTTGCTCTCCAGCTCATCCATCCTGTAGACCATGTAGCTCTCCTTCTCCGTCCACTTCTCCTCCTTCTCCTTCAGGGTTTTGTGGAGGAGCTGAAAGGCCTCTAAGAGGGAGCTCTTCTCTTCCTGCCACTCCTTCTGCCGGAGCCGGAGCTTCTCTTCGGCTTTATTTTGGGCTGCAGCTAACTCAGCGTTGACCTGTTTGAGGCTCTCTAGATCGGCTGTGAAGGAGGCGCGGGACCTTTCGAGCTCGGTCTGAGCCTCCTCCTTGATCCTTTGCAGATCTTTCTCCACATCGGCGGCTCTCTGACTCTCTGCTCTCTCGTCCAGCTTGTCAGTCTGCTGCTCCTGTTCCCGGTGGGTTCTGACCCACTGATATTTGTTTGGAGCTTTCTTCTCCTTGCAAACTGTTTTCAGACTCAGGGCCTGGTTCAGAAGATCAATTTGGAGCGTCTGCAGGTGGAAGTTAATCTTCTCCACCTCTTTGTCCTGAGCAGACTGGCTCCGCTGGCTGCTGCCGTCTTCTTCTGAGGTGCAGGGATTCATTGTTGTGTGTTTCTTCATTAAAGCAGTCTGTTCCTGCTGCAGCTTCACACCGAGGCTCAGGATGCCCGACTTCAGAGCCCGGACCTTCTGGTGGTGCTCTTGCTCATCCTCTTCCTTCAAGTCTTCATTGGACTGAAGTTTGAGGGTGCATTTCTCCAGATCTTCATGAGCTGTCTGCAGCTGAAGGATCAGCTGTGAGGCGTCTTTCTCCTCAGCCTGGGTGCACTGATCGGCTGCAGTGGTGTTGACGCTTTGCTGCTTCATTTTCTGCTTTGCCATCTCAAGTTCGCGCTCAAAAGCTGCAGCTTTATTCTCTGTGTTGAGCAGATCGGAGCGAGCCTTGTTCAGCTGGGTCTTCAGCTTTGCAGCTTTCTTATCTGCAGCTACATATCTGCTGTAATTAATTTGCTGCTGGTACTCGACATCCCGGAGTTGCTCTCTTAAATGAGCATTTTCTTCCATCAGCTGAGACATTTTATCCTCCTGGACTCCAGACTCAAACATGGAAGCAGAGTCTTGCAGGGTGCTGCAGGGTGCCTCCAGATTTCTGCTCCTCCTTGGATTTTGAGCTTTGTTGTTAAAGCGTTTATCCATCGCTGTAGTTAAACTACGTACAGAAAAGTAAAGGTTTGTAAACTACCGACTGATGATGAGACTGCTCAGAGTGGTTATGAAGATCTGAGTGGACTCTGAGGGTTTTGTGACCTCTGAGTTCCATTTATGTCACAATGAAACAATCTGAGGATTCTGTTCTAGAAAGACTCTCAGACGTAAATGTTTATTTTTAAACACAAAGTTCCATGGCAGCCATCTTTCCTCTGACATGACGGTCAGGGCGTGTTCAAGCATCAAATATGTATTAAACAAGTGAAGATAACCTTCATGTCATACTTTTTAAGCAGTCTTAAACTGTTTAAAGTATTAAGAACCACCACACCATCGTCTCATTCATAACCGTTACGTATGCATATAAACATGGCCTGAAACTGGCGTACGCCTTTTCCCACGCAAAGTTTACGATCTATAAAAATGAACCTAACGGTGATGTGAGCGCCGGTAAGCTATCGCTGACTCAGGCGTATGTACATTTTGGAGGCATGGGATACAGCGACACAGACGGCGAAGTGGTGAATTGACCTGCAGAATGTATACTGATGTCTCCTCCACCGTGTCCTAACAGCACGCCAGCGGTATAGGGGACTGCTTGAAAAGGTGGAGAAGGGGAAAAATATGTCCTCTTTAAGGAGCTGTTGACTCAAATCACAACACAGAAGCTCGTCGTGGTAAGCCGAAAAAAAAATTATTCTCTGGTGTCACAAATCAGATCACACCATTTAACTCAAGGATGTGGATGTGATTAATGCACCTCCATCTCCTCTTTGTAAGATAAGCTAACAAGCTGTGTTGAGTGAGAGGACACTCCAATAGGGAACAATGGGCTCGTGCTGTGTGCTGTTAGGACGGGCTGTTACACATTTTATTTCACTAAGTATCAAACTTTACTGACTGAGCCACATCATCATAATCATTCAGTTTTATTCAGGCTATACGCACGTCAGCCTTTTTCAATAAATAACGTTCAATATGACAAGATATAAATGTAAAAAAATTAATTAATAAAAGTCCGCCACATACACATTTCATCAGCGCCGTCTCGCCTTCATTATCCTGGACCTCAGAGGACCGGACAGTACACTAATGTAATCACTCCTTTAAATGTCCTGAAATGAGATGTACTTATGTATGTACTGTATGTTTTATTTTGAAATACTGAACAAGTTACCATTTGCTCCCTGCCTTGGCTGATACTGTAGTTTTACTCACTACAAACTGTACATAAGAATACATAAGATTTTAATCTTGACTTAATGTGGCTTATGATACTGTAGGTGTAATACATTTTTTTTGACTAGATATTAGATAAGATCACTTAAGATTTGAGTTTTTGAAGTGTAATTCTGGAGTTGAAGGGGGGTAACCAGACTCATCGACATTCTGGTGTTTTCTGCAAGGGTGAGGAGGCCGGATCGATACCGCTCCCAATCCACCGCACACCGAGGAGAGAGGGGGGAGCCTAGCATCTCTACCTGGTGTGAGGGCTGCATAGAAATATAAAAGCAGCAGCTGATGCAGTGAGGCAGTGAAAACACAGAGAAGATGATTTTTAATTGAGATAACATCTATTTTTTTTGAAGAGGTGTTCTCTCAGGGAGTTGTTTTTCCATCTTTGTTTATGAAGACCTGCCTGTTAGTGTGACCCCAAAGAGCCCTCTCTGCATTGTTCTACTCCAAAGCAATTACTTTAAAAATCCAGACTAATGTGATTACCTTGCATTTCTCCCAAGATTTCCAATTAAACAGATACTTAACACGCACCATATAAACTATTCTAGTCGAAATGGATCCCATCTAGTGCGAGAGATAAAAGCCGAGGCCAGACAGAGGCCAGAGAGGAGCCGAAAAATAGCATCATAGAGAGTTAATGAGAGAGGCAGAGAGGAGGGGAGCTCCACGACCAAAAAGAGAATTACACAGATAAAAAAAAAACAGAAGAGGAAGAGAGAAAGAGGGATGGCAGATGGGAGAAAAATATTGGTTGAGATTAATGGACTTTAAAGGTCAGTGCAGCATGTTGTATAATTCAGCACACAATAGCTGTGATTGATGTGTGTGCTTTAGGACCTTTTCCTGCTCCACTCTTGCAGAATTCCTCCCCACGTTCAGCCGAGACACCGAGGCTTTGACTTTAAGCTGGGAGGACTGCACATCCAGTTAATAGGTTTCTGAGGACCCGCGCTCTTTGTTAAGACAGGAAGCGGACGAGAGAGGGAGAGGGGGACAGGTGGAGCCACTGCTTCCATGTGTCTTCTCTTAGGACGTCTTACAAAGGGACAGCTTGGTTTTTTGAAGATGGGTTGTAAGAAGGTGGTTGTCAATAGTAAGTGTGTAAGCCACAGGAGGTAGTTGTACCACGCAGATAGCTAATTTACAGGAAATAACCAAATAGGAACGCTATATTTAGAATCACGTCAGCGCATTACTTTGCTGCTAGCAAGCCACTTTGTAGTAGGCACTACTAAGGCACACCACATACGTCTTCCTCCGCCTTCAGCGAGTTGGCTCTATAGTGTACGAGTAGACTGATTGTTAAAATGTGAATTTTGGATTTTACAGCATCCCAGTTTGAAGTCATTTAAAGCACGAGGTGTTGAAAGATTATCTGGCTGTCTCAGTAATAGCTGTAGAGTTTGATATTCTTGCTCTACAATTTTACAATTCACTCATCAGATGCTTTAATCCAAATGGACAAACATCAGAGAGTAAGAACAACATGGGCAAGGATGTAGAGCGGAGGAGACAACGTCATGAAGGAACAGCTTTAAGTCAGACACACAGGTGCTGACAGGAAGTATCAGAGGAAGAGCACAGGTGGTGACAGGAAGTGACCAGAGCACAGGTGCTGACAGGAAGTGACCAGAGCACAGGTGGTGACAGGAAGTGACCAGAGGCAGAGTACAACATGGCCAGCTGTTGTTGAGAGTTCTAATCGGCACCAAAACCATCCTAAATATCAGTCATTATCAAACAAAACCATCGTCATCATCATCATGAAGGTCGTAGGTGTTCATAAAGATCTGGGTCTTTAGCTTTTCCTTAAAGGTGCAAAGGGACTCTGCAGATAAATGCAGCGATGTGTAGTGTAGCTTCTGTTCCGTCTCTCCCGTCAGTTTCTCCTTAAAGAGGCCGTGCTGACCAACATCTTGACCTCATGACCTCTTACAACAGTACTTCAAAACTATCCCTTTAAGTGTGCGACCTTACAGACTCATTTTGTTTGTCTGCTTTTCCTTTTCTTTATCATTAACACTGTTTTTCTTTGTTTGATGGAAGCTGCACATATACACACAAAATGTCATTTCTATCATATCAGCACTTTCCGCTCACGTTGTCGATTACATCCACACTTAAAAATGTGTTTCTGTGTTAACCCCGCCCTCTGGCTCCCCTCAGTGTTGATGCTAGGCCTCTTCCTCTACTCCTGCTGGAGGAGGCACAAGGGCCTGAAGGAGGGCGTGTACCATGTGTCTGCGCACCACGGCGAGTGGGAGGACATCCGGGAAAACGTGCTTAACTACGACGAGGAGGGAGGAGGCGAGCAGGACCAGGTAAACATTTACACATGCTGGTATGTAGACACACAGGGGGAGGTAAACACTGCACTGCTGAACACAAATGCTGCACTTCTTTCAGATCTCAGCCTCCTAATGCACTCTAAATGTCATTTCAAGACCTTTTAAACGCATAAAATAAATCTGATCAAACAGGAACTAAACCAGCAAACGCTTTATGCAGAAAGGTGTTTGTTGGTGTCTTCAAATGAAAACCAAATACCAGTCCCCTGGAGAGCCAGGAGTGCGAGCCAATTAACTGAAATTAAGCAAGTAGACAGGGCATGCTGTTAATGCCTCTGTTTTAATAGTGCTGCTGGTAATAGCAGTTTTCTCTCCTCTGCAATCAGATAATTAATTACGTGGCTAATCAATGGGACTGTTGTAGCCAACGTCTCGGCCTTCATGCTGGATCTTTAGCTCTGACAGAGGCACAGATTCATTTGCTAGCAGAGGCATTAGCCGAGCACACACTGCTCCGAGCACAGATTGGTGTCATGTGGCAATGTTGTTTTTCATTATCTCTTAAATTCAAGAAAAAAAACACCTTTTATCTTCTCTTCTCTCTCTCTCGCTCTCTCTCTCTCTCGCTCTGTGTTTCTCTCAGAATGCCTTCAACATGGTGGAGCTGCAGCGCTCCCTCCAGCCCAGCCCGGCTCAGTCTCTGCGCTACAGCTACCCACAGAGCATCATCTCTTACCCGCAGACGAAGATCCCCCAGGACAACAACAAGAAGGGGATGACTAATGGCAACGGCAGCGCAGCGATCGCCCTGCGTCTGGCCATCCCCCCCTCAGAGACAGAATCACTGCCTTCCCCTCTGACTTTCCGCCGCTCCCACAAAACCCTCTCCTTCTCTAGCCAGGACTTAGCCCGCTACCTGTGTGAGGTCATCAGGGACATGGAGCACCCGGGGGAGCTCGGCACCATGACCACGCCGCGGCGCTCCAACGGGAAGGAGCGTGGCTTGGCGGCGGTGCGCTCCCTCAGCTCCCTCAGTGCCTCTCAGGGTTCAGAGGTGAAACTGCAGGCGGCCCCGAGCAGCCGACTGGACAGGTTCAAAACCCTCCGAGCCGTAGTGAGCGATCTGAGAGGAGAGACCAAGACTGCGGAGGCCCAGAGAGACAAAGTGAAGGAGAGCAGAGGGCAGCTGAACTGTGAGAAGAGCGGCTGAGGCTCGGAGAAACTGAACTGAAGGTTGCAGAAAAGCAACGCTAATCAGGAGCGGTTGGTGGGAATTCCAAAGGGAGATAATTAAATGTGAAATACTCTGAGACTGGGAGGACGCCCAGGGTCTGTGTGAAGTCTGCTATACATGTACTGTATTGATGAAACGTTGAACTTTCCAGCTCTTTGATATAAAAGATGTTTACCAATGAATGACCAGATGTGATGTATTGTTTACTTGGCATTGCACTGTACAGTATTAACTCCACAGAGAGCACTTTTGGAAGCGCCGTGTCCAAACTCTTCATCTCCACCAAGCTCATCAAATGTCTGCAAAGTCTGACGGTTAATGAGTTTCCTGCCAGAACTCTTTTTCGCTGTTAATGACTCATGAAACCGTTTATGTGACAAAATCATTTTCTTTCATTTGTATTATCCCTTTCTTTTTTCAATAAATGATTATCTTTGATAATACTCGGAGGCTCGGCGCTTCATCTTGTGCAGACGTCAGCCCACATTTGTGATCGTTAAATCTCTCGTTTTTTTTCTCGACATTCATCATCAGATGTTGAGTCCAAATGTTCAGCGGACACAAATGGCAAAAAGACATCTTTATTTTTTACCTTCACATGAATTATCCTTCTAAAGTTCCTCCTGCTGCTTTGTCCTTTTTTTAAATTTTATTTGGAACAACAACATGCATGACTGAAGAGTAACCTGGAACAGCTGATCTTGTCTTACTCAGCCACACTCTGCAAGAGAAGAGAAAAGTCAATTCCAGGATTAATCATTCATGTCCACAGCCTGAAGCCTCCTGACCTCGGCTCGTGGGAGTCTGCATTCTGAACTCACACACAGCGTGGTGGTACCAGTATGTCGGGCGCGCGCACACACACACACACACACACACACACACACACACACACACACACACACACACACACACACACACACACACACACACACACACACACACACACACACACACACACACACACACACACACACACACACACACACACACACACACACACACACACACACACACACACACACACACACACACACACACACACACACACACACACACACACTTAATTAGTCGGCATTAGTGGAGTTAAACAGCTGAGACACCGGAGGAGCTGCTGATGGTTTAAATATCTGCTCCACGCACAGACATGAGAGCAGGAGAGGACTGTTTGAGCCTCCTGTGGAGTTAAAGGAGTCCACATTGATCTGTTGTTGTGCTACACAGATACTCAGCTCTCACTGCAGTCACGCTACAGTGCATCTGCCTCCCTATTTGTTCATTAATAATTAGCACTAATGATCTTCAGTCTTGCTCAATCATAACCTCTTTTGATTCACACGTTGCATGAATGCACAGTGCCACCTATAGGCGAGGCTGTGGCGCTGCATGTGGTCCAGGCAGCAGCTCATTACTTCACATTCAGATCTGTTGTTGTGCTACACAGATACTCAGCTCTCACTGCAGTCACGCTACAGTGCATCTGCCTCCCTATTTGTTCATTAATAATTAGCACTAATGATCTTCAGTCTTGCTCAATCATAACCTCTTTTGATTCACACGTTGCATGAATGCACAGTGCCACCTATAGGCGAGGCTGTGGCGCTGCATGTGGTCCAGGCAGCAGCTCATTACTTCACATTCAGAGTTTCCCCCTCTGTGGAATTTCTTCGGTGGATCTGAGGATCCTTGAACGAGTTCACGGTTGTTTTCTGGCATCATGAATTAAAATTTAGCTCTCAGATAATTACACTTATTAAAAAGTTGTCCAAGTGCTGGATGCATGATGAGTGTGAATTTAAAATGTATATTGCAATTACTGCGGTTCTTCTAGGCCTACCTATTTACACTGAACACAGTTACATAATAGAGTCTGGATTTGAATTAAAAAAAACATTAAATTGTACATTTGGCTCTGATGCCTCATGCTGATCTGCATATCCCGGTCTGCGGCTTCATTCATGTTGGCAGGGTGTCGTTTTTAGACCCTGACCCGTCAACTGTGGGTTAAAGATCCGACTTTCAGGGTGGTTTCTTAAAAAAGTACCATGAATGTATTAATGATGTGGTAAGAAAGAACAGGACATTATTCATTAAATTATTTATATGGATTTAATGTACGTTTTAGCCACTAGAGGTCACTGTTACATCATGTGCAGTTTCTGCAGCGTTGTAGACCGGAGGAAACGACAGCATCCAAGAAACGCATGACACTTAAAAAATAAAAATAAACACAGAAACATCTCTTACTGTGGCTTATTTAATAACTCTTTAAAATAACAGAAACTGAAAGACAAAAGAAGAGCAGAGGAGCCGAAAGATTCAAGTGTCAGACCTGTAAATGCAGAAACATAAAAAAGATGCATAGAGAAATAAATAGGTACAATAATTGTATACTCTATCTCCTGTACATGCTGCAACTGGGTGCCCTTAGAAGGAAGCATGGTTTATACTTCCAAGAAGCTATGGGGGCTGGGAAGTTCAAAGCAAAATTACAAAGTGTGAAACAGTCTTACAAAATTTGAGACAAATTTACATTTTGAAAAACAAAATTACAAAACCAAAACACTTTTTACCAAGGACAAAAAACATTCCATTTTATATAACACGTTTGCAAGAACTGAGACAAACGTACAAGTGGCAGAACACTTTCACCAGCCCCCAAACAAATTTACAAACGACATAATCTTGACGGAGAGGGAATGCACCTAATACAGGACGTGACCTGGAAATCATTGAGTGAGGGGTTATAAAATGTAAAAATGTTTTTCAAAATGTAAATTTGTCTCAAATTTTGCAAAATAGTTTCACACTTTGTAATTTTGCTTTGAACTTCCCAGCCACCGTAAAAAATTGAGGTACTTCTGTTCGGCCCCCCTTACTCCACCAACTTAATCTGTAAAAAAACAACTTGGCTCACTGTCTTCTGATGTTAACCCCTCGGCAAAAATTTTTTATTTCCACCTTCAAATTCGACAAACAAATTAACTCTGTGGTCAAAGGCTGCTTCCTCCTTTAACAAAAGGTCAACTGTTTTTATGTTTCCAAGATGCAGAAACACGTATCCATACTTTTATTACGTCCAGCCTGGACTACTGTGGCTCCCTCTTTATGGTCAGTCAGCCAGTCGTCCCTCTCACGTCTGCACTTTGTACAAAATGCTGCTGCAGGATTTTTAACAGGTACACACAAACGAGAGCACATCACCCCTGTACTCGCCTCGCTTCACTGGCTCCCTGTACATTTTAGAATCCATTTAAAAACTCTATTACTGGTTTTTAAGGCACAGCACAGTTTAGCTCCCTCTTATCCGAACTTTTAACCCCTTACACCCCAGGACGATCGCTCAAGTCCTCTGAGCACTTTCCTTGTCATCCCTCGAGCTCAGTGGAAACTCAGGGGCGACCGTGCCTTCTCAGAATCAACTGCCCCCCCATCAGAAAAATTAACTCATTGAATTAATTCAAATCAAAACTCAAAACTCACCTTTTTTCCCTGACCTTTGAAATTATTTTAAATAAATCCAATATAATTTATATGCATGAATATATCTATTCTTCTTCTTTATCAAACGTATTCAAATGTTTTCCTTTGTTGTTGTTTTTGTTTTTATGCATTGTCTGTAAAGCACATTGGTCAGGCTGTTTTAAACATGCTATACAAATATACTTGACTACTTGACTGAAAGAATGTAGTATTGCACACTTACACACTCTGCATATTGCACATGAACCCTGTATTACAATCAGCTGTGCAGCGTGATCATGTTGCACATTTTTTATTTGAATCAGGGACAGGGAAGAAAATAAGCTCCGTCTCAGAAGAGAAAAGACGCTTTACAGATTTAGGCAACTATTTTCATCTTTCACACACACGCACACACACAATCACAAACACGCACAAACACACACACTTGAATTTGTAATGATTTGACTTTAGTTCAAATCAACTTTGAGATTGTAATCATCTCGTCCTTTTCTGTACTACAGAGGAGAGTAGAAGTATTAAGTAACTTTAACTTAAAGTACATTTTAAACAAGCTACTTTTTACTTGAGTAGAATATTTTAGTAGTCTTTCCACCGCTGCATGTTTGTTAATGAAATGTAAAATAAAAAAATGGGCTATAGGCTGAATAACTGAGGGCAAACCCTTAAAACCACAAAAGAGACGATGTCCTCACAGTCATTTTGGTTCTTTCTCTGGAAAAGCTCCAGTTTCTTTCTTTATCTTTTCATGTCCTGATACTCATGACTTCCTTATTTATATTTATATTTATCGACCATGTCTGCCACGAGGTACCAATCTGATGAACCAATCAGGCGCCTCCCTGCCTCCCTGCGCATTCTCTACCTCTTGCGTGCTCTAGCCCACACTCAAAGCGTGTCATGACAGAGTTTATACTGTGAGTTTACTTACTGCTGAATGAGACATGAGACGATGTAGTTTCTACACAATGCAAGCGGTGAGCTGAGGTCCACTTCTGGATTAATGGCGCTCAATGTAAGTGAGGGGCGTGGCTTTAGAGGGAGCACAGAGGGGAGGCGGGGAGGGGGTCGTAGCAGAGCACTGAGGGAATGCTACTTTCAAAATCATGCTAGTTTTAGAATATTACAAACCCTATCTTTAAATGGGTTTATTCTTTTAAATGAACTTCAGAATGTTTGTGTCCTGAAGTAAAAAGGAAAAAAGGGTCCGTTTCCTTCTGTGCAATGACAAGTCTCACATTTTAATGAGAGAATATGGCGGTTTAGAAATCACGTCAAACATTTATTTCCTCCTCAGGACGTCTTTGACTTTGCCACTGGAAGCAGAAACATTTGGATTCTGACTGTAACCATGGTAACAAATAACCCATTAAATCCACAGCTCAGAAACTGGAAGTCGTAAAAGTTTTAAAGTAAAACTCGGAGAGAGCAGAAGGTTATTTCATCTCTTCAAACAGAACAAGAAAATAATCATTGTTGATGTTTAAAGAGAAAGAAGAACCGGGGAGTCGCAGCTGACGATTCTAATGATGTGCACAGTCGAGCTCAAAGTTGCTGTCGTGTGAAACGAGCTCCTGTCCTGTCTCTGTTATTCAGGTTCAAGTTCAGGTGAGTTTATTTTCACCTGTAAGTGGGTTAGTTTTGCAGACGCAGAATTACAACATTGATGTAAAATGAAACTTCACGTTAGAGAGAAGAAGAACGATTTAAAACATCCTTAAAAATATGAAAATGACAAAAGTGGTCAGAGCTTAAAAGAGGAAGAAATACCAACCAATGAAATCAACCCAACATGATCTAAATGAATAACCTCTTGAGGGTAAAAGCAAGTTTAGGACCATGATAAATAAATCATGATAAATATGTACGTGCACATATCGCTACAACTTGTTAAGCTCAGTAATGAAGTTTTGTGTTGGTCTCAGATGTGCGCACTTGATTGTGTGTTCCTTTTTTTCAG